TATAATTCTTTCAACCGCACTAGTGCTTGATTGGAGGAGCTTTTGCTCTGAAGTGATGGAGAAGGAGCTTCAGATTCAAAAGCCAATAGGAAGCAAGGTCTATATAAGTACTTATATAGATGTTGATAGGAAGTGCTGGCGGAAACGTAACAGAGTTCTGAAGCAAGTGTGAGTGTGGTGGGATCGAACGAAAAATAAAAAGTGCTAAAACGCTCATCCCTTGGATACCAATATATGTATATATGTATGTGTATATAAACATACGTATGTACATATGTGTGTGCGTATATATATCTATACCTATATATAGATAGATAAATATTGATATTTTTTATAATATATAATATATATATAAATATACAAATATATAAATAATATAAATATATATATATTATATATATATATATATATATATATATATATATATATATATATATATGTGTTGTGTGTGTGTGTGTGTGTGTGTGTGTGTGTGTGTGTGTGTGTGTGTGAGATAAATTACAGTTTAGGTATATTTATTCAAATATATATATATGTGGGTATGGTATGCACATGCTGTCATTACAATCTGTCGTTCGGTCACGTTAACGCCTCTGGTCAGTGAAGCCAAAGTTCGCGTAATTCACGTAATGTCTAATCTTTCTCCTTCTCCGTCTCCCTCCCCCCTTCTCTCTTTAATTTTAACCATAAATGGCGAAACTTTACTTATACGAACAGCGGTGAAACTTACCTGTTAAGCACAATGTCCATTGCTGCGATCGTGCATACTAACTAAAATTGTCCCGTACATGGGACATTCCCTTACAAAGTTCTAATATTCCCGCGCGACACAATTGTCCTCTACTGGCCATCGTTTGAGAAATGCCGATCACTTTGCGCATTTCTTTGTTTATATTTATTGATATTGGATGGCGATTTTTAAAATATTGAGGCACTTTTCCTGTCCCATGCCGCATAATTTTGTTATTATCAAGTAGCGAAGGTAATACCATAGATGAAAAGTTTCTTATTTTCGGGCATTCTGTACATTACATGCAAAATATACCTTCTAATAGATGGCTGTGTGAAACAAACTATTCCCATAGAACAGCCTTTCCCAACAATGGGGTCGCCAAGCTTTTTCCTACGGTTCGCCAAGACCTCAAAATATCAGACGTGGACAATTTTCAATTTCGAGATATATTCAGTATATACAGAGTCACATATCGGTTGAGGGCTGATGGCTAAATTTTGCTTGATTATTACACAATAATTTAGAATGGAATTGAAAAGAAAATCATTGAATTCAGATGAAACTTGAACTAAAGGAAATATAACTGCCGTTGTGGATTTTTGTTTATTGAATTATGTATATATTTATTGGATGATATAAATTTGATAATATAATGTAATAACATAAGCCCGTATTGGAAAATTATGAACAAATACACACGCAAAATATTAAATTACGCTGAATAGATATTAAAGATATTCACCTCAGACTTCCACAATGCACAAGCAACATGTAAGATACAACATTAAACACTGAACACGGACGAAATGATAAAAAATAAGGAAAACCAGCCTACTTAATTACAAAATAAACTACACACACACGGACACTGTATACAAACCACGCTTTCTCGTTACGTTCACTTTCTACAGATTTGCTTAACAACGTTCTTTTCACAAGGAACACGTGATCGAGATGGAAGAAGTAACAGCCAATACTACACTGAATGTACAACTGGGCAGTGCTAGCGTTTGCCTGTCACTCGTCTCTCCGACTAACCTGTTTGGTAGTTACTCGTTTCCTTTTGTTTTCACTCCTTCGGTGAAGAATATTATTCCACGATAACGTGCCTGTAGAGTATACACGCTCATCTACCTGATGCTAGTATTTATCTTCATAAGAAGACGAAGTGAGAATCGGCCTACCTCAGGAAGAACTGCTGTCGGTGGCCTGTGCAAAAACCCGGTACCTTAGTGGGTCGAAAATGGTCAGAGGCCGGTTGATGGGAAGCGGAGAAGACACTAGTCCGATTGTTTGCGGAAAGGTGTGATTCTTATAAATATATTTATAGATGTATATATAAATATATATGTATGTATATATATAAACATATGTTTTTACAAATAAACACACACACGCATGTACACACACACACACACACACACACACACACACACACACACACACACACACACACATATATATAATAATATATATATATATATATATATATATACATATACATACATATATATAATATATATATACATATAATATATTATATATATATATTTACACACACACACACACACACACACACACACACACACACACACACACACACACACACACACACACACACACACACAACACACACACATACACACACACACACACATATATATATATATATATATATATATATATATATATATATATATGTATATAATATATATATATGATATAATATAATATAACACAAACACACATACACACAAACACACACAT